TGATGATAGAATAAACCCATCATAACGAGAGAATTACAAGAGCTTAAGTATTTAGACATTGTTATCAAGAAGGGTTTACGTTTTTACCCACCATTACCAGTAATAGGTCACTTGAATGATACCGACGTTATAATAAGTTAGTAATTATTAGATTGTTTTATGAAACAAAAAAAAAATGTTTCCAATTATATTTTGTAGATGGTAAATTAATTCCTGCCAATACAAATATACATAACTATGTTATTTTATTCAGCTTTGAGAGATCTCGATTATTTCTTAGATGAATTTATACCAGAACGTTTTCTAAATGAAGTGTTCGTTTACGTAATTGTATTGGTCATATGTGCGCTCTATTGGAAATGAAAAGCACTATTAGTAAACTATTGCGCCATTTTGAATTTTAATCTATGGGTGCAGAAGTACGACCTATTCAAAATCTATTTCCTTGTTCTGCAAGTTTTCGAAATGTTTTACAATAATGGTACTCTGTCTTGCAAACTCATTGCAAGGTGCACGAAATGAACAGATTGCCCGAGCTTGCAATTGACAACAACAAAATAACCGCACAATATTTCTTGCAATATTACTATACTTAAACCCATGTATATATGCCTGTATGCCTGTAAGAAACAGAAAAATAAAACAGCTGTTTTGACATTTGTTGCTTCTCATGTGGATGTGGTATGCTGCATATACGGCTGTTACATTTTGATGCTGCAATTCTGCAACAGAGATGACCTCGCACTCTTGCAATTTTATAATAACATTCTTGTATTTAGTGCACCTTGCAATGACAGAGTGAATATAGACAGAGTGAGTATATATGGATGCATTTAAAATGAAATTTATTAAACATAAAAATTTATTAACTTCATCACACTTTTTTACATGCAATCAGAAAATTTTAAAATTAAAGCAATTTAAAGTTTAAAATATATTTGTGTATATATTTAATTGTTGTTTTGGAAATAATTTTAGTTCAATGAACTAGTTTGTTTACGAACTATACAGGCCTTATGTACACAAGTAAAAATGATATTGAATAACTTTTTAGCAGTAGTGGCTTGTGTCAATTATGTTGCGTGCAACTTCATTTGATGTTGTTTTCTTTTACAGAAGCTGGTAATTATCGAAAACAGTATAGTGGGATCCACTAAAACCACATTAAAAGAAATTACCACACAAAATATTTATATTATTTTTTGTAAATGCTATCTATTTGTTTTATTCAGTAATATTAGATAACATACGAAGAGTTTCAGTACCACGCATTATAATGATCTTTTTCATAAAATCAATATAAAAAATGATATACATTAAGACTGAAAAGTTTTCGGAAATTCTCATTTAAAATTCGCGCGCTGTATATTTTTCGATATTTTAAGTTTATGTAGTTTGGCAGCACTGTCCTTAATTACTATGCCAAAAATGAGCGCGATCTGTCAGACAGTTCGTTTACGGCAGCTGTTGAAACCAGTTCCCCTCAGTAGTGCGTTGCGAAATGTCTTCGACGGTCGTACGACCGTCCTGAAAGGCTTTGTACCACTCATAAACTTGAGTTTTCGATAAAACTGATTCCCCATAAGCCTTTTGTAGCATTCGCAACGATTCTGCACACGAAATTTCGTTCGAAACACAAAATTTGATGCAAACTCTTTGTCCAATATTTTTTTCCATTGTTTTTTTCGCAACGCACTACTGAGGTGAACTGGTTTCAACAGCT